CTTAAGTTTCTGTGATGACTGCCCTTGTACTGTTCACCATGTAAGAACTTATTCACTATGTAAGAATTTGTTCACCATGTAAGAACTTGTTTGTTATGCTTCAGAAGATTGGAGACTGATGAGAATTAGGCTTGGGGTGGATTAATGATTGTGCATTGAGCATTGAGTCCCCTATATAGAATTTTTTTGTTGTTAACAACTATTTGATTAATAAATATGAGAGATGTCCTCTCAACAAATAAAAATAAAAAATAAAAATAAATCAGTCATGGGGATGAAAGGTACAGCATGGGGAATATAGTACATAATATTGTAATACCTTTGTATGGTGACAGATGGTAACTACATTTATCTTGGTATTTCATCATGTATATAAATGCTGAATCAAATGTATATACACATACACCTGAAATTAATATTATATCATCTATACTTCAATTATAAAAAAATTCTGATAAAAAAAAAGAATGACCTCTACCATGGCTTAAGAAAATACTAAATACAACCAAATAACTGAAATTGCATTCAGTTTTTAAGTTTGAAAGTCCTACAAATGAATGTATATATTTTTGTGTATGTTTATATACTCTTATATATATATATATATACACACACATATACATACACAAACATACATACATATAATCTATATCTTGAGATAGGCGTACATATCTCAAAATCAGAAAAAAGAAAATGACATTATTTTGACCAAAAAAAGTATAAATTTAAAATATGTTCAGATAATTTTGAGAGTGAAGGAAGCAGTCATTAAAAGACTTTAAAATTGGTTAGGGAATATAGTAGGCATTCAATAAATATTTCTGAATAATGATACTCTATAAATAATCTTTTTTCCTCTTATAGTACCCAGGAATGTTCAATGTCTAAATTTCCATAAGAGTATATTCAATGACCTTAAAGGTTTCTAATTTTGCTGTATCTTTGAAGATTAAACTTTATAATAAAGAAAATCTTTATTGTAATAAAATCACTTTTTAAGAACTAAGAAAAAATCCTAGATACAATTTTACTCAACCTGTTCAGTAAAGATCAAGATGATGAGGCCCACAATTACAAAGGATATATCTCTACTCACACTCAGAACATTTACTCACTTCATAAGACCCGAATTCTTCTTACTAAATGGTCCAATGATTTTAAACATCAGTTCCACAACTCCATTTTTCCCTAAGGATACTGAATTCACAGCTGGGAGAGGGAGAAAAAGATGTAAAGTGATTTAAAAACCTCAATAAGTACAAATGTGTATACCTGGTGATCCACAACCAAAAACATATACAAATGGTTTAGTAAAAGTGAATTCAAGTCCCTCATAGAGTCCACCTTGGCCAATCACTTGAAGATATTTGGTTTTTTGCTTTAACTTTTACAGGAAGTTGCAGGAAAATTTTGAAAAAGTTATATAAAATAATAAAATGTTACTATAAGAAGAACACTTTAAAGTCACTACATTTTATTGATAAATTTGATGAATTCTACTAAATACCTGTTCATGGGGATTCAGAGACAAAAGCAAACAGCGCCTGTCCTCAGAAAAGACAGTGTACAGGAAAATGGCAGAAACAATAAACAAAAAATAAAACACATAAACAAACAAAATAGAAATAGAAATAGACTCAAAAACCCAGAGAACAAACTAGTGGCTGCCAGAGGGGAGGGGGTTGGCAGGATTGGCAAAATAGGTAAAACAGAAAAAGAGGTACAAACTTTCAGTTATAAAATAAATAAGTCACAGAAATGAAAAGTATAGCATAGGGAATATAGTCAGTACTACTGTAACAACTTTATATGGTGACAGATGGCAACTACACTCATCATAGTGAGCATTTCACAGTGCATATAATTTTCAAGTCACTATGTTGTACACCTGAAACCAATATAATATCGTATACCAACTATACTACAATAAAAAAAATAAGAAACAATAAACATATCATTACTAAATTACATAGATAAAGACTTCTAGTCTACTTAGGTTAACATCAGTGAGGAGTCCCTAGGCAACAGTGAAACAGAAAGCATTTCTGGAGTAATTGAGGCCTAGGCTCATCAGTCTTTACAAATGAGGAGTTAGCTGGGATAGAAGTTGCAGTAAGCAGTGGATGTGGCTCTGGAATAACCTCTGGAGAGAAGCAAAACACAGATAACAGAACAGAGTCAATGAACACCATGCACAGGAGCAGTTAAATAGAGAAAGGCATTCCCATGGGAACATGAGGTAGGAAAAGAGGGTAAACAAATTTTGAAGGGCCCAAGAAGTTGTTCGTTCTTTGAACTACAGGGCATTGTCCAAAAGGAACAATAAATCAGATCTGCATTTAAATCCAAGTCAGATCCCACAGCTTTCTGGGGAAGGTGGATTTCAGCGATACATTAGGAAGCTGTGGTATAGGTAACAGGTAATGAGGACCTTAATTAAAGCAAATGTAGTAGGATAAAACAGATAACAACTTTAAAATTTCAAACAGAATATGCAATTACTTAACCAGAAAATTGTACCTAAGAATTTCAACTCTGAAAATAATATTTAAAAAATTATAAACTATTTACTAAACTTCTAGTGGTTAATTCGATAACATACCAACAAAAATGTAGCAACTAAAGTTTTGTATGATGATTTCAATTTCCTCTGTGTTTATTACTCCATTATCCCTTCTAATTTTATGTCTGTGCTGTCTTTCCTTAGTTGGGGTATTCAATGGTTTATGTTTATCTGTTTTATTTTTAATCCAATTCTTTTAATTTTTAAGTCATCTTTTTTTTAATTTTCTAATTTTTTTAACTATTTCATTCCTCTGCTTTCCTTGTGCTTATTGCTCTGTTTCTAACTTCTCTGGTTAGATATCCAATTTATTCATTTACTGATGTTCTTCCAAATTGTATGTGTTAATTATATGTGCTCAAAGCTATTTTCTTCTGAGCACAACTTCAGCCATTGTTAAAATATATAGATAAACAAATATTTTTACATATACACACACATATATATGCACACACATTTCTACTACTTTAATTATCATTATTTTGCAATGATATTCTATAACAACATGTACTCTATACGTTTTCAGTTTCAGGTGTTTTGTTATCCACTCCAATCCCAGTCAGTGAATAGAAAGAAAATAGAAATTAGAGTGTGTGTGTGTTGAAAAACACTTATCTCAGGCTCTATGATCCCTCTTCTTTCCTGCTCTCTGAGGCTCCTGTACTATTTATTTTCTGTTCAGCAACTCCCCTATTAATTGCTGAAGATAATTACCCTCCAGGTGGCTATGCTACTGCATGCTGCCTTCTCAGCCTTCCTCCGATCTGTGAAAATCCAAATAGGCAGAGCAGTTTTACCAGCTGACAATACACTCATACTCTTCCCCATCTATTCCACAGGCTGCCTATCCATTCCCCTCACTATAGGCCTTTACAAATTGCAAGAACTAGTGAGATTTCACAAGATTTTGTCAACTCACATTCTTAACCCCACATCACTCCTGTGGTGCTGGGATTAGGAGTTACAAAGGGTATTTCAAACGATTTCTTTTCTTGTCCACAAATTTTAGGGATTTATGAAGTTCCAGTACTTTTAAGTTTTCATTTTATGTAATTTCACAACATTGAGTTAGGTAAGTGCAGCTCTGAAATACTCACAGTTGGCAGAACACACTCGTAAAAGCTGAAGACAAGGCAAAACCAAGTGATGATTCTGCAAATTCTGTTTGACCAAATTCAAGGTTATAGTCAAGGCTCCATTAATTCTAGCTTTCACTCCAAATTTTTTGTCTGTTTACAAAAAAATGAGCAATTTATTCATAAGTTAGTTTTGATGAAAAAAAAAGCAATGAAATTTTAAAAACATATTATGAATTATTATTATCAAATCTAAAGTTGAGTGGAAATAATTAAAGTTGTACAATTTTAAAAATACACCTTAATTTTCAAAACATGGCTTGAAAGAAAGTACTAAGGAGCAAGCAAGGGAATAGCACAGGGGGATCGAGGCTGGAATACCATGACATTTAGATTGTCAAAAAATAAGGAACTTAACTGACTGTGGGGAAAATGGAAGTTCCTATGGCCAAAATTCTCACCTGACCCTAAACTACTTGATGATCTAATTGGCCTATTGCTACATTAATGCTTCCACACCCACAGGCAATAAGCTATTATTAACTGAATCACTACATAGAGAGCTCTGCCCAGTGCTCTGGGTTGAAGCAGAGAGAGATGGATTATGGACCAGGAGACTGCTGGATACAGATGTGATTCTAGTGCTCAACCTACTGCCAGGAGAATAGAGCCAGGTATAAACCCTTTTACCCCAAGAATGTTCCACTGTCATTTCTCGTTCTCACTTAATCCATAGTGCACTTGCCCAGGACTGAAACTGTCAGGCAAGACACTGACCTACTACATGAATAAATCTGTCCAGTTCAACATACCCAAAGGAACACCATCACATGGTTAAGAATTATAAAGCACTTAAATGTTCATTACTGTCTTGCCAAAGGGTTTCAGCCCCGGGCAAGTTCGCTATGGGTTCAATATGACCAAAGAAATTGACAGCAAAACGTTCTTTGGGGTGAAAGAAGGGTTTATTACCGAGCTTGTTCTCCTGGCAGTAGATCAAGCACTGGGCCAAGCTCTCTATATAGCACAGTAATAGCTTATTGCCTAAAGGTGTGGAAGCGGTAGCCTAGCAAAAGGCCAGTTATATCATCAGGTGGTTTAAGTTCAGTGAGGATCCTGGCTATAGGAACCCCAACTTCCCCACAATTACCAATACTATTTACTTATTAACTATATTCTTTTCAGACTTACAAAAGAACATAAATTAATGAAAAAATGAACAGCTTCTGTAGAAAATAATCTAGCAAATATTGCCAAATTCCTAGAGGGATCTAATTCTTAACATAGAAAAGAAAAAGAAATGTTGTTCTTGATCTTTATTCTCATAAAAACATGAAAAAACCTGGATAACAAGAATTTAAGAATGTTAAGATTGTAAGAAAGTTAAGTAGGATGAGCAGAGTTATTTCATCAATAAGTATTTTAAGACCAAAAAAAATGAGTATGCCTGAAGACAAATTACTCTGGTATCACAAGAAAAAAAAATAAGGATAGAAAATTACCCAAGAAATTACTGCATAATGTCTTTGAATGACAATAAAAAGAAAACCAGGACAAATAATAAAGAAAATAGCAGAAATTTAGAAGTATAGAAGAATATGAGCTACAACTTAAAAGAGACATTAAAGAAATACAAATATAAATTAAATGTACCAGTTTCTCAATTTCATGAAAAGCAGAAGAAAGGTAATCTGGTTCTGAATAGAGGAGGAAGCATGAAATAACAATATTCATCAGTAAATAGTTTTATTTTGATTTTCAATAAAAATCTCACAAGTGAGCCTTTAAATGTCACAGAGTTAAAGAAAAACAAGACAGTTAACATATTTCTTAAATAAAATGAATATATGTTTTGCTCTTAAGGACCCTACTATACCTGGAAAATTAAGTCATCTCAAGGATGGTTTCTGCTATACAATGAGTTATATTTGGTCAAGACAATCAAATCTGCAGTTCCTGAAGATGCTTCAGAGCTGTAAGGTCAAACAGGTTTCTTGAAGTTGTAATGGAGTTGGGTGCCACCTAAGGGCAGGGTCTGGTTGCCAAGGGACCAGCCTTGTGATTAGAGGGGGAGAACCTTCAGCCCCCAACCTCTGGGAGAGTAGAAGGCAGAGGAGCTGGAGACTGAATAAGCAAAGGCCAATGATTTAGTCAATCATGACTATGCAATGAAGCCCTCACAAACACCCATGAGAAGTTCATTTTGCTCTCTCTCCCTCTTCTTTCCATGCTTGGGGGACCAGAATGCTTCCACATGCCAGGGAGATAGGCCTCAAGTTTCGAACCTCCAATCTGGAGGAAGAGGGCAGTCTTGTAGGATGGAGCCCTTAACCTGGGGGAATCTGGGTGCTTTCTCTGAGCAGATAGTGTCAGAACTGAGTTGAGTTTTCTGCCGCCCTGTTTGTGTTCCAGAATTGCTTGGTGTTGTGCCTGGGACAAAACACACACACACACACACACACACACACACACCAAACACACACACACACACCAAACACACACAAAGGAATTGGGTCCAGGAATCTAAAAGGCCTTTAAAACAACACTTGTTAAAAAAAAATCATTTAAATATTTATACAATCCATACAGATGTGTGTGAAGAACATATAAACTTTTTAGGATATACACATACACTTTTTAGAATAAGCATTTTTAACCAAATATTTCAAAGTTTAAAGCCCATATGTATGCCACAAAGCAAAGGCAGAACTCTTAAAATCACTATTCTAAGAGCAGAGTATCGTTTTAATCTTTGTGCAAGTAGACAACTAAAAACTGAACTTGAGTCCTACTCAAAGGATGCTTTCCTCTGTTAACTTAACCTAAGTCAACTTCCTCCTTTATTTTGCATCCTGTGTTTTCTCAATTTGGATTAATATTTTGTATGCCTTACTGTTATTATAATTGGTCTTAACAATTTTTATATCTCTTTTGTTCTTAACAAGAATGAAAGTTTTTTGTGCACTGAGACTGTGCAGTGCAAATATGACTATTAAAGAAAAGCAAACACATTTTACCCCCATGCTCCTCTAAGCATTCCCATCCACACTTCCTCCTTCTAGTCTCAACAGTGTCATTATTTACACAAACATACACACGGGCACGCACACACACCAAGACACACCTGTGATTTTGACATATTTTCTTCCTTTTTCCACCATATATATTGTTAACTCCTCATGAATTTAAGATCCTTGATTCTTGCAGGTTACTAGTTGACTATAAAAAGCATGCCATGCAGTATTACAGAGAAGACAAGTAATGATTCTATAGCATCTTACTACACTGATGGGCAGTGACTGTAATGGGGTATGTGGGGGGGGACGTGATAATAGGCGGAGTCTAGTAACCATAATGTTGATCAAGTACTTGTACATTAACAATATCAAAATAAAAATAATAAAATTTAAAAATTAAAAAAAAAAGCATGCCATGACAAAGACCAAGAAAAAGCAATAGCATTTTAGATTTTAAAAATTTACCAGTTTCGAGGCACACAGAATCAATGTAACAAAGACAGGTCAAATTTGATAATCATACAACTAAAACCCTTACCTTTAGGTCCAATCTTTGCAAGAATAGAATGAATCTGCACCATTAATTCCTCATTTGGGGGAGATTCTTTGCTAGCATTCATAAGTAACTGTAATAGTATTTGTGAACCACCCTTGGCGACTAAGAAACTTGCTCTTCTACCTCCACCTATAAATTTTAAAAAAAAATGTGTCTAAACAATACACCTGCCATAACATATTAGATATCACAACTTGATAGCTTTCAAGAAATATTTAAGTGATGATGTCTGCAATAAAACACACACCGTCAAAATGAAATTATGTTTTATTTCATTTAGTATTTCAGTTGGAAAACAGCAAAGGTTAAATACAAGTGATGTCAATTCTATGTATGTTCACATCTCTGAAACACATGAGCTTCAGTGGTAGTTTGAAAGATACTGGAAGATACTAAAAACAAAGCAAAACAAAGCATATGACATTGCAGTTTCCAAAATTCCAATACCCAGAACAGCCTCAATGTAAGTATCAGAAAACTCCAAATAAAGTATACATGATACACTGCTGCTCACTGTTTACAAACCAATTCGAAAAGGAAAACAAACTTACCGGCTGACACCAGCTCAACAAGAATGCTTAAGATATTAAGTGTAGTCTGAAGATCTTTTGTGTTCTGAAATAAAGTTTATTTATTAGCTATTGTTAGTTATGCAAATTCCCACATGCATCTTAATATGCTTAAACCATTGAAAATCTGTGATTCTGAAATTTTTTTCTGTTCCTGTTGGGAACTATCTATATTTTACAGATGACTTTACCAATTTCTCTAAGAACAAATGTATTCAAGTTTCCACTAATCTCACTTATCATTTCAGTCTCTTCTCCTTGCCCCTAAGGATTTCTGCAAATCATATTGAGCTATTATTCTCTTAGCATCAACATGATTACAAGAGGAATTAATTTGTCATTTGAATTCATCCTCACCTTTAACCAAATCCAAATAAATGAATTAAGATGTAAAGGCACTACAATGTATATGTAACTACCCAGTCACTTAAGCTCCCCTCTTAGAAGGCAACTTTGATACCAGTTTCTTATGTATCTAAAGAGAATCTGTGCAAATAAAAGAAACCCATGTAAATATATTTGTACATACAGATTTATTTCCCTAAATGATATTGCCTTATAGATCTTATTTTGTACATTGTCATTTTGAGTTATCAATAAATAGTTTCTCCATTCTTTTTAAGGGCTACAAGGTATGTTCCATTATATGGTATAGGTGCTGTTTATGTAACCAGTCACCTACCAACGGGATGGTTAATTTTTTGAATCTTTAGCTATTACAATATTGCAGAAAAAAACTAAGTACATATAAGTTACATGGGGTCAAGTACATCTATATGTGAAATAAATTCCTGGAATTTCTGGATCAAAGAATATGGGCATTTATTTTTATGACTATTATTAATTGCTCTTCATGGATGTAATTTATACTCTCATCAAGATGTAGAAGAGTACTTCTCAAAGAGTGAACAATCAATCTAATAAGAAAAATGTTTCAATAATGTACTTTTGGTTATATTTCTCTTATTAAAAGTGATGCTTGGATGAAGAAATACACAAAGAGAGCACAATCATGGCCTATTCAAGGAACTGCCTCAGCACCAGGGTAGAAGAGTTTTACAATTTTATACAAAGGAATTTCAGAATTGCTGTGTATTGGTGACTGGCAAGGGACTTATTCTTTCCCTTTCCAGAAGGGAATGAGTACTGTCTCTGCTTCACCATATTAGCTCATAAACAGGTGAAACCAAAAAGCCACATCCAGATCAGATAGAGAATTACGCATTAACCAGAAACCCTTCCTTGTCTTAGTGTTGGTGGTAATAACTGAATCACTGACTACTGGAAAGGATTTAGAAGAATGAGAGGGACAGACATTTGTTAAAGAGAAAAGTAGATCACAGCAGCAATACTACGTGTTCAGCAAAATGATTTTATCTTCTTCCTGGATACACAATCAAATCATATTTTCCAGCCTTTTTGTAGTTAGGTTTAGCCATGTAGCTGAGCTCAGCCCATTGGAACCTGAATGGCATTGCATTATTATGTCTAGGCCTCACCCAGAAAATCTCCCATATGTAATACACCAACTCCCACCTTAGTTGACCTCAACAAATTATGACAGGAGCAAGCAGGAAAAAAAAAATGTTCAATTTCAAGTGCCATTTGTTTCTTTTTTTTTCTGAGAACTATCTGTTCTTAACTTTTATACATTTTTCCATTGGGTTACTGATTTTTTTCCTTACTAGATTGTTCTTTGTAGAATATATATATA